CCACATCGGAGACAAAACAGGTAGAAGTTAACAGAAAAATCATAATTCACCAATCACTTTCAAATCATCAGGACAATCAATTAAATTTCAAGTAGGCATGCTCAATTTAATGAAAAGCATAAAAATTTATTTCAAATCAATCATGCTCATTTTGTATAAAACGGGTTTAGTCCCGCCACCACTTCAAAAACAAATTAAAACATACTTTTAAAAGCTGTACGGGTATTACCATAAATTTACTTACCTCACTCGCATAGAACCGAAGATTCAATCCAAGTGCTAAACTGATAGAACGATCAGGAACCTAATCAACATATTCAAGGATTAATTCTATACTATCACAAATTCAAAGTGAAACTTCATTAAGATCACCCCTAATCACGATGCTATTTCTATCAATTTCCACATGATCGGACATCTCCAAATTTGTTCTTATATTACAAACTAAACATTTAAATCCCCGTTCATTGTTGGCCATCAGTGTGTGAACAGTGCTCGTGAACAGTAACTGCACTTCCAAAATTGGCCGAAACACTAGCTAATTTCACGGGATTTTCTCTCCAAAAATCATAGCAGTCAATTAACACTCAATCACATAAATCCCACTTGAATTAAGCTAAATCATGGTCTAATTACTATCAAATTCATCCCCCTAATTCAATAAAATTCGGACAGCACATGGGGCATCAATTAAATGGACAAATTCAGCAACCAATTGATTTTCCAGCTGCAAACCAGACCTAGCAGGGGGGAGAAGCCGGCGGCAGTGCAAGGGAATTTAGGGGGATCTACCCAAAATTAAAAGAAATTAAAGGAGCTTAGAGTGAACCCAAGCCAATTCAAGGAAAAACAAAGGGATTCAATGGTTGTTTCGTACCCAAAAGGCCCAGAAATTCGCACCCACAAACCGGCAAGAGCAGCAAATGGACGGACAGAGCAAAGCAGATCCGGAAATCCCTGCAGGGGGAGAGAATTCTAAGCTCCAAATCTGGTTTTTGAACAAGAAAAGAAAGGCAAAAATCATCAAGCTTTACCAGTTTCCCCAAGGGGAGGTGTGTCGGGGCTGGGCTTCTTGTTGGGGCTGCAGCGGGTGAGAAGGAGAAGAAGAGCAAAACGCGCAACGCTGAAGAAAGAAAGAAGAAAAATACCCGGTCCTTATCCAAATTTCTACTCTTTTTAGCCCCTCAACTTTAGATATTTTGGCTATTAAGCCCAAAACAATATTTTTCCACAATTTAGTCCTTAACTCACACTTATTTATTCTAAAAATTTTTGGGGTATCACAACAAATTACAACAAAATAAAGAAAAATATTTACTAAAGCATTACCTATAAACCCATTGACTTGTAATTTTCCTTATTTCCTAAAAAAAAAAATGAAACCAATATAAAGAAAATTGGAAAAAGTATTGAAATAAAGATATATATAAGAAAAAATTTAAAGTTCACCAAATTTTCAAAATATGTAGCCTACAAAAAAAAAAAAGGAAAAAAGTTAGTAAAAAAATTATAAATATAAAGAATGAAAATGGAATAAACTTACTATTGATAGCAAAGAAATACCAATATCGAAAGCAACATAAAATTTAAAAAGAAATTCATAAAATGGTTATGGAAGAAAAAGAAAGGAGAGTGGAATAAAAAAGATGGAATAAAAGAAGGCAGAAGGCGGAAAAATCAAATGGAAAGAAATTTGATAGAAAGAAAAGATGAAGAACAATAAAAGGGGGAGAGAAAGAAGAGAGGAAATGAGAGGAAAGAGAGGAAAAGAGAAAGAAAAGAGGAAGAAGAATACAAGGAGGAGAGAAAGAAGAGAGGAAATGAAAAAGATAAGGAGGAGAGAAAGAAAATAGCAAGAAACAACAAAAAGGGATGAGAGGAAGATGAGAAAACAAAAAGAGGAAGAAGAGAAATTAGAAAAATAAGGAAAAGGTTGGGAGGGTTGCTGTTAATATATAAGATTTATATGACCGAAATCGGTCCAAAAATAAGTAAATATGCGCTAACCCTCGGCACACAACAAAAATATTTAATTTTTTCAACAAAATTTTGGCGACACAAATTTACAGACTGAAATCGGTCTGAAAATAAATAAATATGTGCCAACCCCCAGTGCATGACAAAAAGAATCTAATTTTTTTGGCAAAATTTTGGCGACACAAATTTACGAATCGAAATCAATCTCAATATGTAACGCATTAGATCTAAAAGCAATTTAATGATCAAAATGGAATTATATTCGGATAAATGACAGTTCATATAGCATATTCAGACCATCATTAATCCGAATATGGTGCCTAGAATTTAAAAGCTTCTCCTCTTAAACTTTATTATTCTTTTCATTTAAGGATATCACCACCTTCTCGTGCCCCGATTCCATTCCTACAAAAGTCAACTGTATCCACTTTAGTGCTACAGTTCCCCCCCCCAACCCTGAAACCATCAGTTGTCCCCATGAAATTGTCTAACAATGGTGTGTGGGGTCGCAACGTTGCAAAATCACAAACATGTAGGTGTACAATTATTAACTTTAAGGTTGGGTCGTGTCATTGTGAAACCACAAACGCGAAGGCTTGAGATTATTCGGATAAGGTTAGCTTCTTTAGCATGCAAGCATTCGGAATCCTATGGTTTAAACGAAAGTGGAATGAATCGAGCGTGGGATAAGACATCGGGTGGAGAAAGTGAATTCTAGACACCATATTTGGACCAATGATGGTTCGTATATCATATTTGAATTGTCATTGGTCCGAATATGATGGTTCTCCTCTTACAACTTTTTTATTCTTTTCGTGTAAGGACATCACCACCCTCTTGTGCCTCGATTCCATTCCTGCGAAAACTAGTTGTGTGCACTTCAACACTACAATCCCCCTAACCTTGAAACCATTGGTTGTCCACTTGAAATTGTCTAACGGTGGCATGGTGTCATGTCGTTTCAAAATCACAAACATGTAGGTGTACAATTATTAACTTTAAAGTTGGGTCGTATCATTGGGAAATCATAAACGCAGAAGCTTGAGATTATTTAGTTAAAGTTAACCTCTTTGGCACACAAGCATTCGAAATTTTGTGGTTCAACCAAGAGCAAAATGAATCAGGTGTGGGATAAGGTGTCAAGTGGAGAAAGTGGATTTTGGACATCATATTTGGACCAATGATGGTTCATATTGGGCCTAGCTTGGTGGTTGACCCATTTTGACCAACTGGTCCGATTGAATTGGTTGAACGAATTCACCCAACTAGTCCAATAGGTCAACTAAAAAAACCTTTTTTTTTAAAACAAATTTATTAGATTTTACTATTTTATATTACTTTCATTCTATTCTTAAGAAATAATCATCATAAGATCAATTTAAAAATCATCATTTAAGCCATTTAAAATAATAAATTTAATTAAATATATATAATTTTTAAGATCTAAACTAACAAATATTAAAATACATAATATAAGATAAGTTTTTGGCAAGATGAT